GCACGCAGCACGTTATGGTGCCGGCTGCCTCCTCCCGCTCACACGGAAGAGGGTTTGGTTCTCCCTGTTCTGCAGCAGCGTCGAGAGCTGGTTCTGCAGTAACAGGAAGCTCCCGGCAATACTTTCTGGGGCAGAAAGCACAGCGAGAAAGACAAAAAAAGACAGAAAATCACTCAAAAAGAGGAGAAAACCCAAGTGCAAGGCGGTTTGAGAGGCACTGGGAGAGCTTTAATCCTCTCTTCACTCCTCAAGCAGCAACAAGAGTTTTGGGACAGGCTGCAGAAATGCACGAGCCGGAGCAGAGATACGAGGCAAGACGGCTGTGTTAAATGGCGGCGGCACAAGCCCACCATCGGGGTTGGGAGATCCCTGCCCATCCGCAGCGGCTCCGGCGGCACGGGCAGGACCCCAATCTAAGAAAAGATTTGTTTCTCGCGGAAGCGAGGCGGGCAGGAGTGCAAAGGCTCCGGCAACAAGAGCGGCGGCGCAAAAGGAAGCCGGCATCGGCGCAATTCCCGCCTACCTGCTGCGCTTGGGTTTGGTTCTGAAGCGCGAGTTGGAGGAGAGCGGTGGAGAGGGCCGGGTTGGTCACCAGCGGCACGGAGGGAGCGGCGCCGAGGATTCCTGGAGGGAAGAGAAGCCAGAGGAATCAGCCACCGCAGTGAGGACAAACCCCAGCCCCGGCCACTGCTCTGCGTTCCGCCTTACCCTGTTTTCCTCCAACGGCCCCGTGGAGCAGGGGGTTGAGCAGCAGCTGGAGGGAAGCGGGGTTTCCCAGGCTGTTGAGAATTTGGAGGATATTCGGCTCGGGGAGGAGCCCTTTCCCACGATTCAGCGCCTCAAAACCAAAAAAAAAAGTGTGTTAAAAGCAAGACAACCAGCTTCGAGGCTTCACCTACAAAAAGGCCGCCCTGAAATCTCTCTTAGCTCCCAAACCCAGCAAGATTCCAGCTCCCAAGATCCCGCTCCCAGCAAGATCGTTCCCAAAATCCCATTCCCAGCAAGATCATACCCAAATATCTCATTGTATGGCAGGGAGACGACCGACCCATCCCTACAGCTGACAAAAGCCAAGGCGCGGAGGCAGCCGCCACACTTTGC